CAACGCGCCCGGCGGCCGCTGTTGGAACCTGCCGGGGACCCTCGGCCCGGCCACCCGCGCCAGCGACCCACAGACGCTTCTGTCCTCCTGGATGTGCGAACTTACGGGCTCGACTCACGGGCGCACCCAGCGCAGGCTCACAGGAATGTGCTGAAACGCGTCAGTCTTCGCTTCGGAATCAAAACCGGATTTCAGGCAGTAACAACACTGCTGGAAAGGTGGCCCAGCGGCACGAAAGGAGGTTGGGGCCAATCTCTTCCCTCCCATTCCCCGGTGTGATATGGGCTGTATTGACTTACAGCACCAGGAGGATAAAACATAGTTTCTTCATAACCAATAATTTGTCTATTATAAGCAAGTTTTGATTAATCTATTTTTTGTTAAAAGAAATGCTTGTGTTACAACTACTAAGGGAGTTGGCCCTTTCAGTGTCAGCATCATCTCATTTTGCATGGCTGACAAATCAGTACTGAGAACGTGCACAGCGATTACATATGTAAAAATAATATAGATAAACCTGAGTAATTACCTCAGCATTGTGATACAGCTCTACTTGTGCAAGGCTTCAATTCTGGCTTGTTTCACCAACAAAACCCAATATAAATATTTACTGTTGTATAACAAACCATTGTTCTTTGTATTTCAACAAAGGAACCTTCTATGATGCAGTGGAAGTTATTTCCAAAGCCTTCACATTTGTATCACTATTGATCTGAGAGGGAAGCTTCTGGTGCTATTAAAAGGACCACAGCTGTTGAAACCAGACTGTGAACAAGGCACCTTGTGCTAGCACGACAGCCAAGACTACCCAACAGAGTCAAGCACCACACTTGTACACTTCAGCAGTGTGGAGCACAGGGAACTGACTGATACTGCATCAGTGGGGCAAGAATCAGCAGACCTCAGGAAGCAGTTTTTATTCAGCAAAATTCTAAGGACACTCATATTCATCTGAAGAGTTAATTTGACTTAGAGTTTCTTTCCTCTCCCCACTCACCCTGGCACTTTGCCATGCCAGCTATTCTGAAGCTTTTCATACCTTACATCTGAGTTTGATGCAGAAAATGCTTTTTGTATAAACCCCCCTAAATTGTTAAGTTAAAAAATAGCTGAAAAATATCTAATATTAAACTCTGGTTCACTGAAAAAACACAAACAATCCTTTTTAATGATTACAATATTTCAGTATCAGGCACTTTGTAACAGTATCATTAAAATGCCCCGTTTCATTGCTCTACACAGAATAATATTCCACTCTGTGTTTTCAAGGCACAGTTTCTATGTGCAGTTATTTACCATACCAAAGTTTTTTAAAAATGGTATCACACAGTTTTATAAGCTCTCTCTAAAAAACAAAGGCAGTCTTCTGTAAAGCATTAGTTTTACATCAGCTACATTCTCATGTAATTTATAGCAAGTTTTTAACACAATGTCCAACTTTTCTCTTGTATCTTCACACTTGATTGCAATTTGGTTATCTGCAATATTCAAAAGGTAATTTTGCCAAGTGTTAAAGTGTCAAGAGCTTGTGCCAATGCTCATTCATGGGAAGACTAAGGACTCCATTTAACCGTTCAAATCAACTGATTCAATTATCAGGGAGGTTTTAATTTTTCATTTCAGACTTTGGTTCGTGGATAGACAGCTCAAGTGTATTCAGGAAGTAGCTTGACTCCTGGCATAACTAGAGACACAAAGGAAAAATAAGATGCAGAGAGAGGAGGCACAGGCTGCTGCCACTAGGGTTCCTGAGCAGAAAGACAAGTGCCCTCACATTCTGTTTAACTGAGAAGAAAACAGAAAAATTTGTTCAAGAAGCTTTGCTGCTGAAACTCAAGAATGAAGAATACTGTATAATACCAGCTGACAAATCTTTTCCCCAGAAGGCAGGAAGAAGCAACATGCACTGTTATTCCATTCAGTATTCTCAGTTCTTAAAACAATACTTATGAGATGGGTCTTCTAGAATTATAAACTTTAACTCCATTCTGCATTGAAGAGCGAGTGTATTTTGTTAGAAGAGCACCAACTGTCTGCTTCTCTGCACATAAGTCTCTGCAGAGGAAATAAAGCAGATGACATTGACATCAGAGATATTCTCATACAAAATGAAACCAATAAATACTTGTAAACATTATAAACTGAATTAGGGTATTGGGAGAAACAAAAAAAATACTATTATAGCTTTCACATAAAGCTTTAAAAAGTTTAGAACTAACTTGGGTTGATATTTCAGCAACAAGCAAAACTACATTATTTACTTCAGAAACATGAATTTTATTTTTTAGGGGGAGTTGGTTGAGTTTTACTATTACTGTTCTCTAAAGGGTTTTCAGTGCAGCATAACAGTGAGCTTTGAACTATTGCATTACATTTCAGTAAATTTAGAGCCAAATAAAGAGGTTTGATGCATTCACCTCTGGATTACCATCTCTATCTGCTCACATGTATGCTGGCTATGCATTCCAGATAGCATTGCTGTGGAAGTGTTAACCACCAAAAGAACAAAGGCCACAGTACAGGAAGCACTGCTGCTTTATACTTCTTGTGTTGCAAATATGGAGACTAATTATAAATGTCAGGAGGTTTGTCCTTTGAATGAAGTCTGCCTCCATAAAACAAGACAGAGTTATAAGCCATTTAAATTCAGTACAATCAGCTTTTTACACAAGTTTAAATCCAACAAATATAGCTACAGTTACTAGGGGTGGGGATTCTATTCGTATTAAATTCATATTAATTTAAAATAGTGGTATAGTGTTTGAGGCAATTAGAGCTGACAAGAATTCAACTATGCAAAAAGGAAAGAATGTAACAGTAGTTATTTTTAATAAAAAGAAATGTATCCTTACTGTATATAAGGGGTAATATCCACTTCTGTCCACTTCTCCCGTATGTTGAATAAGCTGTTAAATCTTTCCTGATCATTTTCAGGTAAGTCTTCTACTTTCAGCAGAAAGATGGTCTCTGGTCTTGAGCTTTTATCCACAAGAGCCAAGCCCTGTAGTAAGCATCAGAGATTAAACGTTAAGACACAATAATTAAACTTCCTTCTTTCTGTCAATGAGCCATACAAGCTGCCCTTTGAACATCCAACACTGCCTAAAACTGCACTAGAGGAAAAATGAAAAAGTATCATCAAGGTGCTGTTGAACAGGCAATATTTCTCATTTCCCTTTTGACAAGGGAGGGGCTAACCCACTGAATCCCAACATCTCTCTCTCTGCCTCTTTTGAGCAGAAGGATTTCCATGGGGCTTGCTACTCTCTAGTCTGCTCAACAATAGCCTCCCCATTCTGTTCTAGTGAAAAAGTATTAACTACACACCTGAAACTTTTCTTCAGACAGTGAAATGTGCCAGACTTTCAGAAACCTGAACTGTCATGATTCCAGACTACCAGTGCTCACAGAGAATGCCAGCAGGAGTACTTGAACTCAAAAACTGACAGAAATCACACAATCAATACCCATGAATTGATAAAATCTACAGGTCACAAGTCAGTTAGCAGCCTACTCACAAAAGAATCCATGATTCTTTATGTTATTACCTTAAGCTGATCAAGCCTTGTTGTCATCCCTTCAGGGACACTTTGTTGCCAGACTTCTTGAAAGTCTGATAGATTGAATTTAGCTGCATTTTGCAAAAGCATCTGTGCCATAGCTCTGCATATTTTATCTTCATGCATTTCAAAGTAAACCTCTCCTGCTGAGAAAAAAACCACACCAAACAGTTTATTTTGGGTTCTTGATTTCTGGTGAAAGGACAACAACCTTGTATTTCTGTTTTGCAGTCTTCTACAAACCACGTATCCTGTTTTTTCAGAGGGCCCATAGCAAGCTTACTACCCTTGGCTGCACGAGAGCAGATTTCAGCTTTTTCAGGGATCTGCTCAAGAGAGTGTCATGGGATAACATCCTGGAGGGAAGAGGGGTCCATAAGGACTGCCTGATGTTTAAAGATTACCTTCTCCAGACCAAAGAGCAATGCATCTCAATTAAGAGGAAGTCAGGTAAAAACTCCAGGAGGCTGGTGTGGATGAGCAAACAGCTCCTAGAAAAGCTCAAACTTAAAAAGGAAGTATACAGAGGTGGAAGCTAGGGCAGGTGCCCTGAGAGGATTACAGAGAGGTTGTCCAAACAGCTAGGGATCTGGTTAGGAGAGCTGAAGCCCCAATGGAATTAAATCTCATGGGATTGAAAGGGATGTAAAGAGCAATAAGAAAAGCTTCAATAGCTTCGTTGGGGATTAAAGGACAACCAAGGAAAATGTAGGCCCCCTCCTGAAGGAAACAGGAGATATAGCTACACAGGCTATTGAGAAGGCTGAGGTTCTCAATGACTTCTTTGCACATGACATCCCCCTGGTCTCCAAACTGACAAGACATGGATTGACAAGTAGACCACTTGGTGGATAAGTAATTGGCTGGATGGCTGCATCCAAAGAGTTGTGGTCAATGGTTCATCGTCCAAATGGAGGCAGGGGATGAGGGGTGTCCCTCAGGGGACAGTACTGGAACCAGTGCTGTTCAACAATTTTTTTGGAGACATGGACAGTGGGATTGAGTGTATCCTCAGCAAGTCTGCTGACGATACCAAGCTGTGTGGAGTCGTTGACACCCCAGAGAGAAGGGATACCATCCAGAGGGACCTTGACAGGCTGGAGAGGTGGCCAGTGCCAACCTCATGAAGTTCAACAAGGCCAAGTACAGGGTCCTGCACCTGGGTTGGCACAACCCCAGGCACAAATACAGGCTGGGGGAAGAATGGCTGGAGAGCAGCCCTGAGGAAAAGGACTTGGGGGTGGTAGTTGATGAGAAGCTCGACATGAGCTGCCAGCACGTGCTGGAGCCGAGGGCAAACCACGTCCTGGGAAGCATCAAAAGAAGTGTAGACATCAGGGTGAGGGAGGTGATCCTGCACCTCTACTCTGATGAGACCTCACCTGGAATACTGTGTACAGCTCTGGAGCCCTCAGCACAGGAAAGACATGCAACTGTTAAAAAGGGTCCAGAGAAGGACCACAAATATTACTGAAGGGCTGGAGGACCTCTGCTACGAAGACAGGCTGAGAGAGCTGGGGCTGTACAGCCTGGAAAAGAGAAGGCTCCGGGGAGACCATACAGCAGCCTTCTAGTACCTGAAGGGGCTACAGGAAAGCTGGGGAGGGGCTTTACACCAGAGACGGCAATGACAGGACAAGGGGTAATGGTTTTAAACTGAAAGGGGAGATTTAGGTTAGATATCAGGAAGAAATTTACCCATGAGGGTAGTAAGGTACTGGAATAGGTTGCCCAGGGAGGTTGTGGAAGCCCCCTCCCTGGAAGCGTTCAAGGCCAGGTTGGATGAGGCTTTGTGCAGCCTGGTGTCCCTGGTCATAGCAGGGAGGTTGGAACCTGATGATCTTTAAGGTCCCTTCCAACCTTAACCATTTGATGATTCTTTTCCTCAGGGAGTAACCTGACTTGGTATTACTCTGGATAAATGAGAGTATCTTCTAATTCTTAAGAACAAATTAAGCAAAATATTATACAGCACTGTCTGAAGTACAGTATTCATTTGTATCAATAAATGTCCTTTAATTTGAGATGATAAACAGAATAATGACAATTTATTTTCTTTCACACTGACTTGGTTAATGGGCTGAACAATATCAGGCATAAACACCTCCCTCCTCTTTTCCAGTCATCTGGACTTGATGCAATTCAAATTTATTCCTTCTGCAATCTGTCTAAATATAGTAAGACAACAATCTGTGTCATTCCAACTACTTATGTTCTACTCCTGCTTCAGCCAAAAGTGAGATTGAAACAGCTGTTAGGAAGAATTCAGATTGAGATTAAAGCACTGAAATATAATGTCTATATGTGAGATGCACAATGGAGATTTAATCAATACAATCAATGCATTTTGTGGTGCAGTTCAAAGGACTGAACACAGATGAGACCTCCTATCTAAAGAGATATTCCATCTAAATTTTACAAGTGAATTGTCATTAGTCACAAAACTGTGGCCTGTAGACACCTAATAAGTAACTTCAGGTTCCTAACTTTTCCCTAGTGTCTTACACAGTTAATAGTCTTTTTTCCTATGAAACTTTCTCTAACAATTTTATTGATTTTAGTTCAGTTTGCTCTTTCTTTTTACTGGCACTGTAGCAAATTCATTTGTTTGGGCCATCCTCACACAATCTACATTTACTAATAAACTAGTTCCTTTATGCAAAAACTTACCATCATCAATGTATTTCCTTCCATAGCTTAAAAGAATATGTTCTATCATCTCTCTGAAAAAAAAACAATAAATGACCACTAGAAGTAAAGGTACAAAACTGTTCATTAGGACATTAGAGAAAAGTTACCAAGAAGATGATGAATGAACAGATAAAGCAAAAAAATCAAGGAGAAAAGAGGATGGCACGTCTTCATGGCTGAAATGAACAGATTGATAAAAGCTTAGAAGTAAATTAAAAGAGGACAAAAAGGACAGATGGCAATGAATTCTGCATCTCACCCTCAAGTCTCCTCCACTTTCTAGTTAAAAGTAGCAAAGACAAAAAGGCATAAGGAGAATAAGGAAAAGAGACTCCTGCAAAGTCACTTCTTTCCCAAGAAAAGTTACACAAGTCAGAAATTCGTCAGTTAATTGTCCTTACTAAATATCAGGCACTTTTCTAGACCTTTGGCATAAAATAGCAACCTAGCTGCAGATGCTAATACTAAAGCAAGGTTTCTTTTTGAGCCAAAACTAAAATAAATGAAAAATGCTACATATTATAAACATAATGCCTCATGTGAATGGTAATCTTAAATTATTTCCTGACTCCAAATGGCAGTACAATAAATTCCACTCTCAAGAGCTGACATTCAGTATTCTACCAGAGAATATACCATCATCTCAGGCATTATGCTAAATACTTTTTGGTACCTATAGCTTCAGAACCAGTATTTCAAAATGGTCAGCAATTTACAGTTTAAGTACATATCACTTCCATCATTTATAATTCTGTGGAAATTTTTCCACTATTGAATCAATGGCAATATTACCAATAGGTGCTAAAATAAGTTTACTAACCTGTCTAAACTACTCATGCCCTTGTATATTTTAGAGACAAAGAAAATACATCATTAACACCATGGTAACTGGCATGTAGAGCTATAAGACTATAATTCAAATAAATAATGAATAATGATTGCACTTAGTTAATAAGGAGTGTAGGCAATTTTAAGCACTAAATGTAATTGCTTACCTGGGCTCTAGAGATCCAAGTTCCTCAAGGCAGGTATGTAAAGGAACCTTACTTAAAGACCAGGACTCTGAGTCTATTAGCTGAGTCACATGATTCAAGAGTTTAATCTCGTAGTCAAATTCTAGAATTCTCCAATATCCTGCCAAATAGAAAACCACAAAGCACCATTAGAAGAAAAACAGTAACCCCTTAATTCTGTTCCCTTGAAGATACATTATAGGAGTCTGGACATTTTGGTCACACCTTAAAAAAAATACAGCATCAGCATTCTGTCCTTTTCAGCTCTGAGGCCCCCAACAGAAGGACGTGGAGCTGTTGGAGCAAGTCCAGAGGAGAGCCACAAAGACTCTACAAATCCCATACAAAGATGAAATCAGACCTGGAAAAACTAATAATCAATTCAGACAAAGAACTGAACAAACAGAACTAGCTGCACTAGTCCTGCAATGTGGCAGTTCAGATCCAGCCAAGTCCACAGAAATTGAGACGTGACCAAGCACGGATCTGGTACAATGGTGCTGTGCAGCTGTAAATGTAAGATTGTCCTCACCTCCCTAATTGATAGGGTGTAGAGAAGACAGAGCAGAAGTCTTCCCAGTGGTGCTCAGTGATAGAGCAGGAGGCAACAAGCACAAGTTGCAACAAGGGAAATCCCAGCTACGGATTAGGAGAACTTTCTTCTCCTTGCAGATAGTCAAACACTGGAACAGTCTGGCCAGAGGGTGTGTAATCTCCATCCTTAGAAATGCTCAGAACTTGAACAGCCAAGGCCCTGAGCATCTAGCTCCAAGCTGGCCCTGATCTAAGGCAAAAGTCTGGATCTCAATCTCCAGAGTTCAGTTCTGCCCTCTAGGACTGCTGCCACATAGCATCCAGGTGAGGGGTTGAGCTTGGCCAAGTACAGGATGAGTAAGACCTGACCCAAGGTGAGGCACTTGCTCCAGGCTTGCCTCACATGGTCAGAATACTTCTGAGATAAACCCAGTCTGGGAGGAAGAAAGAACTATGAAAAGGGTGGGTTACCTGAGCATCAGCTTTTTCTGACTCTAGAACTGCAGAAAGCAGCAGTACTCACTCATCCATGATGAGGGCAACCAGCCAAAAAGCAAAACCTGCTTAGTTTTATTCTTTTGATCAGCTTCACAGAAGCAGAGGACATAGGAAATATGGAAGCACATCTTAGTATCCTTAGTATCCTTGATAGACAAGGATGTGGAATGGGCCTTATAAAAAGGAGGCACAGACATTTTGTGGAAAAAAACACCAGGGTCATTTCCTCATACACAATAATATTCTTTAGAGATTAATACCTTCAATTTTGCAAGCATCTAAAGCCCGCAGCTGGTGCATTATTTCTTCTTCACTTGCTTGAATCAGATTTAACAAATCCTCTGTTGTGTACTGCAACAACAGAAAAAAATAAGGAAATAAAACAGGTTACCCTTACTCCTCCTTTGCCTAAGCAAGCATGCTAAATGCATTATAAGAGATAATAAAAGAAATACTTCAAAGATTGAGGTTTTCTTTTCCCCATACTCTGAATTTTCTAAGGTTCACCAAGCTCTCTGAAACTTTTCCATTCAATATTATCAATAAATGTTATTGCACATGACATTTTTTTGCATTGCTAGCCTTCATAAATGCTTATATTGCTGAGAAATTTAA